TTTATCTTTTACTCGATGAACACAACGCCTCGAGGATGCAGAGGAACACCACAACGAACATGGGTGGTAATTCAATACACCGTAATGGCCTTTCGTGTAAGGCCAATCAAGCCAATGAGGCGGAATGTTATAAGTAGGGCTAATAGCAATAGAATGTATGCCCATTTGAGGTCCTCCTCGACGTCGTTGGCTTCTAACACTACTTCTCCCTGAGTGAAACCCAAACCTACTGCTAACACATGTAAATGACTTTACCCCAGGCTGATCTGAGAACTCTGCAAGGAATAGTAAATTCATAGCATATTTCAACGAGCAGAGATACTGCACCCATCGTAGGAAGGCTGGTACCTAGAGTCGATGCCAATCTATCGTCCCTTGGTGAACCAACGGGCCAAATCAGCATCTCAATGTAGTTTGCCAGATTTTGTCTCGACTGTTGATGACAACGTGTATAATTCTGATTTCATTCTAAAGCTGCAATAGTTATATTCCGTTCACCCTCCCATGCTTACCTCACTTAGATCAACAAAGAAGCCAGCAAAGAGTATCTGTGGAACGAAGAGAAGGGGACCAGCCTCCATCGCCGTCTTAGGGTTAGGCGCGAAACAACCGGCCATAACGGCTGTTGATGCGATAGCCGAGGCCAGGAGGAAGGTTGCCAACCACTGAGGAGAGGTCAGGGTCTTTCCACAGCCCGAAGCTACTATAGAATCACTTAATATCACTATGCTGAGCTCAGTAGTTTCCTCATTACATAACAAAATTCAGAGTAGAAGTGTAGATGAAACGACAGAGACTTTCCTTCTCCAGATTCGTTATTCCCATGAAGTTGGCCATGTGCATAATTTCCGTTGCTCACGATGATGCTGTAGGGGATAAGTCCACAACGGCAGATCAGGAATGACCAGCCCGAAGAGCTTACAATCTCTAAGAAGGGCCCATTGAGACCCATCATATTGTAGAGTATTGTCACTGACACTCCCGTTTGGACGAATGCTACCGGAATTTCCACACAGGACTTGGACAAGAAGTAGGCTCCCTGAAAACGACGCGAATGCTTCAGTCGAGTGAGGAGAAAACACCATAGGAAAAACACACGGGAAGGGAAAATTTTCAAGGTGTAGAAAACTGCATTCCATAACGTTATATTGATAATCCTATATTATAAATGCCATCGATAAACCAGCGGTAATGATATACAGTATTACAAAATAACAGTGTGAACATCGAAACCGTTATTATGCAAAGTTATA